ATGGAGCCTGTATAATCGTTTCGCGATGTCCTCCTTGATCGATCCCTCCCCTCCCCCCTCCCGCCGGGATGGAGGGAAAGAGGGGAAAAAGAGGGGCGCCGCCGACCGTCTCGCTCGCTCGCCAAGATATATATATGCTTGTTTTTCCGAAAACAAGTTTCCCCGCCCGAGCGCCGCGCACGTACATACGTACATACGAACGTACGTACTTTCCTTCTTCGACCATGCGGGGTGGATCGACGCATGCGTTTTTCTCGCGCGCCCGCGTACCCTTCGCGGAATTATCTTGGCCGTGAATCGGCCAGTCTTCCACGGCCGTTCCCGGATCGCTTGCTCGCGATCGCGCGCGGGGGCGCGTGTCAACCCTTTCCCGAGAGGAGGCCCGGCATCCCCGAGAGCAGGACGCGATCTCCGGATAATCCGCGAATAATACACGTGCGATGGCACGCGACAGCGTCCCTCGCGTATATACCTGTCGTATGCACAATGCGTATACACACCGGAGTAGCAGAGTGACTCCGAAAAGGGGTTGACGCGGCGTGAGACACGTGCCGCGTTTAAAGGTAAGCGGGGAGTCCGTGAGACGCACGTGAGACACACGTTTTAAATGTCATGTTTCCCTGCAAACCGCTAAATGTGCTAATGCGCTTGATTACGCCGGAGACGTCACTCGGCTTATCGGAAATTTAAGCCCGTTGCGAATCGTGCGCGTTGACGCTGACGCGGGCGCGATTACTTCGATAATATCTCGGATTGTCATTATAGTTAAGTAAGACAGAATGGACTCCGATGATCCCGCGTCACGTTGCAAAGTACGTTACGTTCGTGTACTCGTCGCGCGAAGTGTTTTCCGCCGTCGCGACAGTGCCACATCCGAGCTGCTTAAAAGGAAATAGACGGAAATAGATTAGACCGCGTGCATGTTAATTGCAAGTTACACGAGAGATATTCCACACGCGGAAACTCCCTTGCTCGCAACGCCGAGTTTCGCAGCGACGTGTAATTGCATTCAAACTTCATCCCCCCCTCCCCTCTCCCCCTCCGTGATTAATGACTGAAATTACCATGGAGCGCGTTAAGCAATTCTTTTTAATGAGTAGCGTTACGATTTAATCGAATAGCGTTTCGGGATTGTGATGAAATAATAATTTCCATTAGATTTTATTTTTGCTAAAATTACTTTCAGCGAGGTGTACAACAACACGCGCGCCGATCGCAATCACGCTGCGGCTAATGATTATCTTTATAAAGCGCACACGTGAAGCGTGCAAAAACTAAGTTTAACGATCAATAGCAGCTTAATACACAAACCGCTGCATTGCTTAGTTGTTAAAGCTGGAGAACATAAAAATTTTAATAATAATAATAATAATAATAATAATTAAACTCTGTGACATATTTGAATATTTAAATAGAAAATTTCAATTTATTGGCTACCATCGGCGTAACGCCCGCAGCGAATATCAAATTTATTTTCGTGTGACGCAAATTAAAAATGTTAAAATTTATATAATCAAAATTCGCGAGTTTAATTAACAAGATATTTAACGTCGTATATCACGAGGTCGCGGGTGAAACAATAGAGAATTTGAATTTCTTCCCAAAAGAAAAGGATCAAACTCTCGAAGCCTGACACAAAAGTCGGCGTCATCTCGGGATTAAAAATCGCGAGAGTATCCTATATTTCTGCTAGGGATTTAATTAAATACGTAACATTTCGTATTATTTCCCGCGTTTACCGCGGGGAGAATAAGTAGCGAAAAAATAAAGCACGCTTCTTGGCGCAAACTTGCGCCACTTGGATTCTGCAAGAATCCCCAGGTGGGTGAGCTCGTGCATAACTGACGCGCAGTAAGGGCTCGTGTGCGATTACACGTTTAAAGGGTAGGCAATCGTTCACGCACGGGTAGCCTCGCGAT